AAATTGCATCTGCAAAAATCAGATAAACATTGATGCATAGTTTTGGAAAGAATTTATCCATTTTACATTAATTCCAAGGGGGGGAAATTGTTTCTGCTTATGAACATTTTGGACAACAACTAGCCTACAGGAATGAATTAAATTTGTGAACTGAAGTTTTAATGTAATACAACAGTGTGATGAACACATTAAATGTATGGCTGGATTTCTTGGTTTACCTGTATGTTATGCTGATAGATGATGCAAGATTCAAGCACAATGCAGTGTGAAACTGACAGAATTTGCACTACTGGGCATTTAAGCCTTAGGTGCGGTGCATAATTTTTTTTGAAGGGGGGAATAACTTTACACATAGATAATTAGCCCCTAATATAATGTTATTTCATAAAAACAAAACAGGTAAACCTTTTAAGTTAATTCATGACATAAGATACCGCTTGTCCCAATACCCATCTAGAGCAGTAAAATGGCATCTTTGCAGGAGTGTAAATTCCCCTAATATGATTATCTAAAGTGCTGTTTTTAGCAACCAAATAAAAATGCAAGATATAAAAAACGTTTTTGAATTAATCTAGAAAATATTGATCATATTCGAAAAATAAATTTTTTTTAAAATTACATAATTAAAAAAAATCGTTCTTTGCACAACTTTTTTAGATATTTTTTAATGATTTCATAATAGATTTGAAACCGAGAAGATTTTTGCTCCGGTACTTGATTTGCTACAGGTTTGAAAAGGAAGATATTTTGAAGGCCATCATGTTTATTTACATTTCACCTCTCTTTCCTCTGCTTAGGATATTTTTCTATGGTGAATCACACTCACATATCCATTCAGTATTCAATGACAATTCATGTGTACAGAGTTATATTTTCATTTCTTTCGGAAAAATACTAAATATTTTCCAACTTTTAACATTACTGCAATTTATTAAAAAATATATATTTGCATTATCAACATATAAAATGAACATACTTGAATTTTAAAATATTTTAATGGTGCTGCCATCTAGTTGCAGCAATCCCTACATGTGCAGTGGGATGTATTTGTCCCATCCTTTAATTTCAACCATTCTTATTAATATATAGGAATTGAAATAATTTTTATTGGAAAAGGAAACTTCCACATACAAATATTCATTGTAACACCAAAAGTTGTTGTTCAGATAATTTAAATTGCGTTAGAAATTAAGGGGGGGGGAACTGCTTCAAAATTAGACCTGCGAAGAATTTTTATTTTACATTATTTCCATGAATGAAAACTAGTGCTGCCATCCATTATACATTTAAAGAACTCATAACTGTATGTATTTTAAATGAGATTTTGCAGCTTTCATCTGGAAGATAAAAATTGATAAAAAAAAGGTGGGATGCCTAGCTTCCCACTGCCTGCCAAAGGGTTAAAGGCCATCATGGCAACGGGAAGTTTGTCATAATGTGATGATCTCTCAATGTCTCATGCACGATTTGAAACATTTCCTCATAGCATCTGTACTCTACGTTGAAATCTTACCTCGATGAAAGTACTTGGAGCTATGCAAATCATTTGTGCTTCTAGCATGATCATGTTCGATTGTATCTGCTACCATCAGCAGCTTCTTGTACAGTATTTCAAATACAGATTATAAAGTTAAGTGAAGTAGACTACTTCTTGCAGAATTATATCAAAGAATAAATGTACAGAATACCATTTTTCTAATGTTACAGATCCAGGAACACATACTACCCAACCATGCGGTAATGAATACTAAAAATGCAGAACATTCAACACAAAGTTTTAGCTTAAACACAGATGCATACTGCTGCTGCTGAAAGACATATCAAGCTTTTTTAATTAGCACAAACAATTCATAATTCTAGAACATTATTATGTGTTCTGGTTCTTCATAATGTCCTAATGATATATGAACTCTTTACTGTAATAAATAATACCTTGCAAACACTATTTTTATGATAAGACTGATAACATTCAAATTTAGCATCTAAGGTTTGGTTTATTAGATTACAGCAAAGCACTCGAGGGCTATCTGCCTTAAGGGAGGGATGCCTTTGTGAAGGACTTTTTAAGGGAAACTTGGCTTGTATACACGTTACACATGGGGATAACTACGAAAACACCCATGCAGCCAGCCTGTTCGCAGGATTTGAACCTCGGACCGAACTACCAGTGTTTAGCGGCGTTACTGCTCGGCCGCTGGTGGGCCCAGCAGTCAATTACATATGATATAGCATAATCACTTTGCCATATGCAGACACAAATTCTACAACTCTAGCCTTCTGTATTCAGGTATTTTGATGTTTCAAGATTTGACTTTTATATAGACCATAGCTGCCATGCACAATGGCACCATTTTAAAACCCATTTAAATTTACTTTATAATGCATAATTCAGTTTATTATTTCACATTACGATTCTGATTTACAGTGTATTAATTACAATGCAGGGTTTTCCTTATTTTGCATAAAACATTTAAAGTTTGATACTTTAGCTGAACTTCTCAACTTCCCCTCTCTAGGATGTAAAAAAAGTTAACGTTAATTAAAGTGTGTATTTAAACGGGTGTATCCCGAATAAACAGGAGTTTATTCAAAGCGTGTTTGTTTCGCTAGTTAAGCGCACATTTCGTTGTTGTTTCATCGTTACGATAGTAAGCCTCTTGGCCATATCGGATTTATCATCATGCTGGTTAGGTTTTTGTGAGTCTACCTGTTAGGTGTCACTTAAGTGCTAACTGGCACTATTTACTTTAGGTTTGACTTGAATTTTATTCTACGTTTTAGTTTTCACTGCAAGTTGACGGTGTTTTGGTAATGAATGAAGACTGTGCCTTTTTGTTACTATTTTGAATTAATAAAGGGTTATTTTAACTCTTCGTCTAAATCGGTAGTTTTATTCACGCCTGTGCGAGAATTCGCCAGGTCTTACAGGATCTAATCTAGTTCATCTGGAACAAGAGAAAAAGACCCTACAGCATATTCTAACTTTTATGTTGTTTGGCTAATTTAATTCTGTAATTTTCATTTCATAACACTTTTATACCTAGTCAGAAAGTTCTGAGTAATGAAAGAAAGCTCCAATTTATCACAGTACTTTTAAACACAGTAAAAATAAAATTAATAATTAATGTGCCTACTATTATGTGGATAAATTTAGTAATTTAACTTACAAGTATATTGCCATATATTTGTAAGTTACTTTCTCTCTCCTTATTGTGTGCTTTCACGATGCAATTCGAAGCACATCCCAATAGCAATCAGGAGATGTGGAGTTCGAATCCCAGGGAGGGAACTGTATACTTTTTATGCCTGCTGCCTCTAAAAAAATAATAATTAAAAAAATTCATTCTACAATGGCACAAATTAATCTGGGAAGATAATTCATCCCCAACCAGATCAGGTGATTAGGTAGAAAACCCCTTGTGCTTCTGTGGTGGAATTAGAAGGATGTCCAGCTAACAATAGTAAAATTCAGAGTTTGAATCCTGGTGAAGGCACTGTATATTTATGTCTCTTGTTCCAAAACGGGTCTAATGATTCTACATATTGATTCAAACAAAAATACCAATATCTACCGATTAAACATTTGGTTGCATCTTCATACAAGTTCCATAAATAACTACAGTAAATTAAGATAATTCAGATGAAATAAAATTTAATGAGAAAAGTTGTGCTGAAGTTCACAAGGGATGGAATGAAGTTTGCACAATTCAATAGTTAAAAAACACCATCTTTAGCAAAGGCTAAAAATTAAAAAACTAGCTAAAATTAATTCGGTTGTCTGCAAGTCAACAAGCAAAACAGAGAGTTGGGAGCTATGTTATATGTTCCAAATTTAGGAAACACGGATCTGAACTATTCAAAGAAATAAGTAATGGTTGGTTTAAAAAAATTTCTTCGCATAAAAACAATAAAGACAGCATATAATTCATAATAAATATACTCCTATAGTATTTTAAAATTAATCAAAATTACAATGAATTAAAAGCTAAAAATCAAATTGAATGCCGTTTTAATTAATAGTTATTTATTACAATGCACAATTACACTCTAAAGTATGTAATTCATTTCTGAAGGATATTAAATAATATAGTTATTTATTACAATGCACAATTACACTTACAAGTTAAATTATGTAATTCATTTCTGAAGGGTAATCTAAAAAGAAAAGTAACAGAACGGACTAAGATAAAAACAAACAACAGCTTATTGGTGAGAAAAATGGAGAAGCTATGTTTGATAAAACTGTTCCAGATAAAAGCGGAGAACAATACATTGGCAAGAAAAATGAAGATTGCAATAACTCTTTATTTAGTTCTTATAGTAGCTATGTTCAGTAAAACACTTCCAAATATGGGCTGAGTGCAATACTTGGGCAAGAAAAATGAAGATTACAATAACTCTTTACTTGGTTCTTTTTAAAGCTTAAATTATAATCTTATAGTTTATTAACAGTATGCAACTTATAATTTACTATTAACTTTTGTCTTTAAAAGACAACTTCTGCTTATACTTCACTATTAGCTTATTATTATTTGAGAAAATTAACTAATACTCCCCTCAACACACTTTCCTAACTTTTTGGGGAAAAATTATACTTTCAGTGTTCATTTTCCATTTCTCTGACTTTCTAGGTGAATGTCTTAGTTGTACAATTTTCAAAAGCTTTCTGTATATATAATACAGAACTGTATCTATGTTCTACTTTTTTAACATTTTGTACAGAAGTTCTGAGTGTCTGTGATATATTTGAATGTTAACAAATATGATGAACGAAAAGGAATTACTTTTGAAAATGCAACTTCTTTTGGGCATATGATAAAAATTTCACACAACAGCCTCATACTTCAATAAGATTTCATATAACTAATTAGCATTAGACAAAAGATTAAAAAAATATATTTTAATCATAGTGTGTGCATATGTATACTGTATATGTAATAGTAACAGTAATATATAGAAAGACATAAACAGTTCTTTCCAAGAAATAAACACACAAAAAAGGGTTTTCACAAATATATTTTATATCAACTTTTTTGTCATTAACACAGATGAAATGAGAACAGCACTTTATAAAAGTGAACACCACATACAATAAATGAAGAATACTAATAGGTTTGCAGTGCCTCATATAACATTTTTGTCAGTAAACATGCTACTTGGGCATTCCGACATAAAAATGAGATGAATGTTTTCTACATTGTCAATATATACATAAAAATGATGAATTTTTTACAACATGAAAAAGTTACAATTGGGAAGTGCTTCTATGAAAAATATAAAGGCAGTTTCTCTTTAAAATGATTAAAATATGGTGACAAATGTTCCATGAAAAAGTTATCTTTTCATTTAAAATAATAAATTCAATAACAAAAAGATAACTGAAAATATACAATAGGAATATTTTTAAATAAAGGATTTAATATATAACTATTTTAAACAAATTCATATCACTTTCAGAATCAAGTTATGGAACTGAAAAGCACACTAGTTTTTCTTTGTAGAGGTAATTTATAAATTAAGCATGCCTTTTTATAAACTTGGCTTCTTTCTGCATTAATGTCTGTCGATTTTGTCCAACAAACTTTAAACAAGCAGCTTCTGTTACTTGACCACAGTCTCTGAGATCAAGATGAATGAGATTAGAACAACGCTTTAAAGCTTCTAAACTAGTGTCAGTAATGTTAGAACAAGATGAAACATCTAAAGATTGTAAACGGGCTGCCTTTGCAGCACCAAGCACAGCTATGCCCATATCTGTTACTTTATGGCAATGACTCAGATCCAGTTTGGAAAGCAGTGGCAGATGGTGAGCTAATAATCGCACTGAAACGTCAGAAATATCTGCTCCAGCAAGCTTCACTTCAGTTAAGTGGCGTAAACGAGTTTTGCTCTCTATAAAACCAGGTCTGGAATCAGGAGGCGGAGCTAGGAGATCTCTTATGACGGAATCATTTAATCCTTCAACCCAGCTAAGGTCAAGTGAGCGCAACAAGGGACAGTTACAAGTGCATAAGGCAGCAACGGAAGCTGAAGAACAACCACTTAATATTAATTCTTTCATCTGAGGCAGTCTTGCAATAAGCCATGCCAGCTGTCGACGAGACAAATTAGTCCAGCTTAAATTTAAAGTTATGGGCTGCCGTCTAACAATACCTATTAAAGTACTCGCTGTAATTTTGCGTCGTGTCAAATCCATTAACGTCCATAATCGCGGATCTACAGACCACCGATTCCATGTCTTGCATACTAGCTGGCAGGTATACAAGTCTTTGACAGCTAAAAACTGAAAAACAGGTAACATAACTTCCTTTTCCATTGCCAAATTTTCTAAGCCAGAACATGAATTCCTAATTTTTTCCTCACTGTTGTCTTCAACCACAGGTGCTGGTCGAACCACATATTTTGGTTTTTTTAGATGAGGGCTGTCACGCAACATAGAACTGATTTTTGGATTTTGGGCACTGGGAACTTTTTCAAGATTCTTCTCACACTTTACTAATTTTTCTGGAGAAAGAGACATTAAATCTGCTTTTCCATCTTCAGTTAAATTATGCGACACTTCATGTTTAATTTTCATGGTACCACACGACTGAACAACTTTTATATCTTTGGAAAATGCTTTGGTATTTGTATCGTCACACTTTCCAAAACTTTTAGTTTTAATAAGCAAATTTTTCTTTAAGCCTTTTAGATTGCGGAAAAGCCTTTCACGTGCTGTCTCACCATGTCGCCGTACTGGCACTCCCAAAGAAAGTTTAGATTTAGCTCGTATGTCAAGTTTTTCATTTATATTTTTTACACGTAAAACTTTACCTTGCTCATTTTTTAATGACTTTTTTATGTGTAATGGATATCGGGCACAGGAACGGATATGTGATGGAGAAATAGAAGGTCTCTTAAGTCTGTCACACAGATCTTTGCTAGGAGATGTCGGACTTCCACTACTGCTTTCTTCCTAAAAATCAAGAGAAGATTCTTTATTTGTCTAACTGGGTGCTAAAATCATGGAGTATTTAGCAGCAGAGCTCCAGCAGGCGCAAACTTAAGCATGCAGAGTTCAAAAAATTTCCGAGAAGGGTGCAAAAGAAGCATACAAAGTTATCAGAAGCTACTTCATCCCAGGCAGAAAAGGAAAAAAATAAGCAAGTTATACCCATGCATAAAAGCAACGTGTGCAATGTTTCTAAACTACCACATGCACCCAAAATTACAAATGCATTAAGCAAGTCAAATGAATGCTCCACGATAGATTATAAAATATTCTTTATTTAGAAATAAAAAGGACATTTGAAGAAAAATATTTAACTTGGACCATGTGAACATTTAATACAAATGCTGTCAAAGTAAGAAGGAAGAAAGCAAAGCAAGCAAATAATAATAAACATTTTTAACAAATAAATTGCTATTACAGGTTACAAATCAAAATTGAGACAAAGATTATTTATTTTAAGAACATCTTAAGTTGTTAATGCATTTATGGAATTTAATGATTTTTTTCACAAAATTAGCAACAGGATATGTTACAACATAATTCTCTTTCTTTTACATGTATTTGAAATAATAAACACAACCAGACTTATTCATATGATGTGAACATTGTTCATGGCAGCACAATAGACTGCATGGCAATAAATATTTAGAAAGACATTCACAATTTAGTTAGTTATTGAATATATGCATGTATATGAGAAAATATCTTTTAAAATAAAATGTTACAGTACATGAAACTTAGATGAATACGAAATCTGCTTATTAATTTAATTCAAAAATTTTACATAATGCAAATATAAGAACACTATTTTGGTAATTTATGTGATATGCATTGCAATTAATAAACTGTCAAAATTGTACATTATAAGGACAGACATTTTCATTTCACCATGCTCTAAAGAAGCAACAATATATTGCATTTTTATTCTCTATTACAATTTCTCCACTCGTAATTTAATTAGCTAGTCATAAATATTAAGCTAAATCAAATGCAAAAGTCAGCCTTCATATTTAGAAACTGTTTTATTTAAGGTAAAAATATTAAATCTTGAGCAATTTTAGGTATAAAATATATGATTAATATACTTTGAATCTTTCTGCAATTCACAAACACTTTACTTACACAGGTCATCAAGCCTATTATAATTATTTTGCAATGGAATGCATTAAACCTTATATTTCAATAATTTGTAGGTATTTAAAAAAATATGTTGTCAAAACACATACAAGTATTTACACATTTGTACTAATGCCCCTATATACATATATCAAATTATTATGAAAGCAATAATTTGAATGTACTTTTAAATGTAATTTATTACCAGCAATGTTTTCCCCGCTTTTTATTTTCTCTCTCAAAACAAGAAATATTTAAATGCATATAATATTTATAAACAAGGATTCAAGGCTAATCCTCTTTAAAAAGGGGGGGATAAAAAGTTGCAAACAGCATACAGAAAGGGGAGAGGAAGAAGAAAATGAAATGAAAAGAAAGATGTTAAAAATAATTAAGATAAATATTTCTTAAAATATTAGAAAGGAACAGTTTACATATGAACGTAAAAAGCATACATATACATATATTTATATATGTTTAAAAAAAGCATATATCAAATGTTAAAGGAACATAAACCTTTTATGTTATATGTCTCTAAAAATTTATGTTTGATTTTGCCATTTATCACACAATGCACTAAATGCAAGTCACTAAAAGTAATTAAATTTTACATATTTTAACATAACTAAGACACATCTAATGAAAAGACAATTAAGATACATCTAATGAAAAGCTCTTTATTTATATTCACAAAAAGTGTTGTGCAAATTTTAGTTTAAAAAGTTCAAAGATACACGAATTTAAAAAAAAAAAAAAAAAAAACCATACACACATAGATCATACTAAAATCTTAAGACTTAAAATCTTAAGACTAGCTCTTTTATTATGAAAGTCTGGACTAAAACATTTTCGTTACACTGAAGTAATAAATAAAACCTTGGTTAATCTGCGCAATAACTTCTTGCAGTTTCTCAACAGAAAATATCCCAAAATAGACAAGAAATAATTTAAAAAGCACAGTAAATACTAACATTGACTCAAACATTTTAAAGAAAGGGAAGAGAGGACACAAAGAAAATGTAAGAAAAAATAACTTAAGTACAAAATTATTAAGTAAATGTTTGAGCATGATTAAGTAAAACAAATATACAGTATCCAATGGTTTATCTGCATATAATAAAATGGAACTTGAAACTGACATATATGTAACAATATTTAATGGATATCTGCTCCATTATTTAATGATTTCTACATTTGATATCTTCACACATATTTAAAACTGGACTAGCACTAAAACTGGTGGGATTAATTGTGCGCTTATCAATAAAATTAACCCACAATATGGCTGAATTAATGAAAAAAAAAAAAACTTTACAACGAGATTCAAACAAGACGTATTTAAAAAAAAAAAAAAAAAAAAACTTAATGTTCATATTTCTACACTCTTCTCAATATAATTCTTACCTCTTTATCAACCAATGTTGAAGAATATTTTCTTACACATGGCTGTGCAGAACTGCCATGATTTATAGACAGGTTGTTAGCATTATTAGCATCAGCATCACCATAATTCATATCCTCAATATTTTCTTGTTTGATACACTGATTCTCAATTCTAACCTATAAAATACAATGTTTAATATGCTTCCTGTTATTAAAATGCAATCAATCTGTAACACTAAATATTATAGAAAACATTATATCTAAGTACACTGCACAGTTATTTGCAATGCACTTATATATAATGATTTCATTTATTGAATACATACATGATGACTATCTGCCTAAAAGAAAGGATGTCTTTCCATAGGACATTCTAAGAAAACTGACTCATATTCATCTCACACATGGGGAAAACCACAAAAAACATGCATGTATCCAGCCAATTTGCCTGGATGCCTTAAAAATAATTAATTGTATATCATATGATCAAATGTCAATACATTAAATGGTGTATCATACATTTGCATGGAGAAAACCCATGTAGCCAACCAATCTGCCTGGATGCCTTAGAAATTATTAATTGTATATCATATGATCAAATGCCAATACATTAAAGGATTTATCATATAAATTACATTTAAAAAGTTAAAAAAAAACATAAATAAATCATATCTTCATTTTTATTACAATTCATTTATTTTTTAAATATAACTGAATGACTTAATCTAAATGAGGGTGATACAAAAATTATAAGGGAAGTTTAAAAATTTAAGCTCTTAACTCTCATTTCCCTTGTCCCTGAATAGAGTGATCACCAAATAAAAATATTCCAGTCAAACTTAAGGGGAAAAGTTCTAAATTTTTATTTGCTTCTGTCTAACTCGGCTCGGGGCTTTTTTTGACATTACCATTTAATAGCAATTAAAAATTTTTACCATTTAATAGCAATTAAAAATTTTAAGTAAAACTTCTATATTAACATAAATCTGATATCAATGAAAGAAAAAGTAAAATCTGTACATGGGAATGCTTCATAATGCTGATGCACCCTTATGCAAGTCAGCTGCTATTTGAAAAGACAGAAATCTTCATAACAATGATGTGGCATAAGTGAGTGTGAACAAACTGAAGATTTGTCTCTTCCCTGAAACTGATTGCTGGCACCTTTATGCCAATCTGCATTTTTTACAAAGGTGCAAGCACTGTTAAGCAACTCTAATTTTTTATTCAATAATTTATCAATTAATTAAGCAGGAGATGAAATAAATCTTTGGTGGCTTTATGAAAAAAAGAGACATTGCATAAAGGTGGCCAGATCCTTATGAAAGATGCTGAATTGTTATAAAGCTGGGCTTTTATGAGAAATGGTGGAATAGCATAAAGGTGATCACAACTTCAGGAAATAAGCCAGATTGGCATAGAGGTACCAAAGTTTCTATCAACAAAAACAATTCTTCAGGTTATGTTTCTTGAAAGGGCTCGATATTCTTGGAAGGGAAATCTATTAAAACAATGGCCTATTTACTTAATTTAAGTATTTCTACAGTTTTTGATAATATTAAAGAGTTATAAGAAACAGAATTGTATTTAAAACAAAAGATGACCTGGAAGACCATCTAAGTTATCTGACAGAATGAAATGCTTTACTCTGAGGAATATTAAAAAGAATCCATGAATGCTTCTAAACTTGTAGCAGATCTTCATGAATTACAGTCAAAAGTCGTTTATCTGGACTCGTCGGGACTTTGGCGATTCCGGATTAACGATTTTTCTGGATTATAGATTTTAATCTTGTAAGATGGCATGCAGAAATTATAAAATTAAAAATATGAAACCGTAATTTATGAAATAAAGAACAATTATAATCTAAAGGGAATCAAAATTTACAAAAAAAAAAAAGCTTAATATTTATTTGTTTTATTTTATTAAAACATTTCTTTCAATGTAAGTTGTTTAAGTTGCTTCGTTTTATGTGATAATACTTTCTCTTTAATTCTATAAACAGACATAATTTCTTGTTCAGTTACAAAGTTCCGCTGTTCAAGTCCTATGATTGCTGTGTCGAGAATACCGACTAATTTGTCAAATGAAATTTTTTCGTTTTCACTTTCTTCACTATCGGAAGCAAATTATAATGACGAGGAATTTGATGTAAATCATATGAAAGATGGAATACATCGAGATGAAATACTACATTTAGTAAGGAATTATAAGCCAAATAAAATGAAAACGTCTGCCCTGAAGATAAGGATAGCACTGACAGATCAACTTCCAATCGCCTGGCTGTAAAAAAAAAAAAACGAAAAGTTTCAGATTTTAAATTATGTCCAAAGGGGGTGTTTTTTTAACATTCCATTACCTTTATTTATTAAATAGCATGTTCTTTGCACTTAAACCATAAAATTCAGTTCAAGAGCAATATTGTAAATTAGTTTTAAATTGAGCATATCTTTAGAATTTCCAAAAGAGTATTGCACGCTGGAGATAAAAATGTTTTTCCTGTATAACGTTGCCATTGCTCGCTTTGAAATCCTTGAGTTTGTTAAACAAAAATTCGTTAAAGTTTTATAAAATATGAAATCGATAATAAAACAAATTCCAAATTTGGGCTTCCACATTCCCATATTCACAGTAGGATTATGTCATTCAAAATTCAATGATTCTATGTACCGTTGTTTTATCACAATGTGAGATATATACATACATTTATGCAGGTTTTTCCTTATTTAATTTCTTCAAATATAATGCAAGACTCTAACATTTAGCAGTAACAGTTTGAAAAGTAAAACAGACATTTATAGTGAACCAACACAAAATCGAAAAATGAACACAACACAAAATCGAAAAATGAACCCTCATTTAGAGTCCTTCAGGGACAAAGCCCCTTTGGGCTAAAAAGATCTGAAAGCTTTAAGATTTTACACATTATGCCCAAAGGAGCATTCTTTTAACGTTTTGTGGGTTACCTTTATTAAAAATTCATATTCTTTGCACTTAAACCATAAAATTCAGTTCAATGGCAGTATCACAAAATAATTTTAAAATGAGCATATCTTTAGAATTTCCAATACACAGTCTCGCGCGCTGGAGATAAAAATGTTTTTCGCGCAATGTTGCCATTGCTCACTTTGAAATCATTGAGTTCGTTAATAAAAAATTTGTTAAATTTTATAAAAAATGAAATAGATAATAAAACAAATTCCAAATTCGGTCTTCCAGATGCCCTAGTTTTGTGGAAACATAGGTTATTCAAAATTTAATGGCTCTAGGTACCATCATTTTATCACAATGCGAGAAACATACATACATTTATGCAGATTCTTCATTAATTTCCTTAAATATAATACCGGGCTGTAATATTTGGTAGCAACAACTTGAAAAGTGAACCGTTATTTAAAGTTTTCAAAGCAAAATGCCAAAACTAAATTAATAGCCCTTCTGGGCTAATGTCTTTTGGGTTAAAAAACTTCTGTTCTTGATCCTGGTGATATGGTGATAGATATTCTATGATTTTAGATGTCTTAATTCCTTAAGAGTCTGTTTAGCATTGAGATAAACATTCGTTTTCAACAAAAGTTTAACGCCACCACAAATATCACCTGTGAAATTAGTTCATGCTGGAGTGTTTAATCGTGTTTTGTTAACCAATTTTTGGCATTTCAAAGAAACAGACTTGCCTTAGAACACTGTGAAGTGTGCAAAAAATTCTTATCATTAAGTACAAGATTTCTGAAATGGAAATATCAAGCTACCAGATTAGAACCATCATTTATTCCAGTTCTGTTACAGAAAGTTAGCTACAGAATGTCACCAAATCATGTGTACAACTTTAGCTACTAATGTTGCATCATACGACACTGTAAAGGTTTGGTACCAAAAGCTCAAAAACAAAGACATTTAAGAAGAGGAGTGCTTTGCCCATCCTACTGGTGTTGATGAGGTCCACTTGCAAGAACTTTCCGAAGAAGCTCCGCATGCAACCACCCAAGAGCTTGCTAAGGAGTTAGACATTAATGCCATGTCCACTTCGTGCTATACATCGCATAAACTTAACGTACAAAATCAATGCTGAGTGCCACATGAACTAACCCAAACTGAAAAGGAGAGATGTGCTTGGGCCTGCACTAATCTGCTCGGATATCAATGCAAGGGCAAAATCCTGGATTGAATTGTCACTTGTGATAAATAGTGGATTTACTTCAACAACACAGGACCAAAAGTATGATGAACTATGCCTGGTGAGCCGGTCGGCAGCATCGCAAACTCAATTTGACTAGCAAAACAATCAAGCCTTGTATCTGGTAGGATTGTTCGTAGTATTATCCTCAAAGAGTATCTGGAAAAGGGTAAAACCCTTTTCCAGAATAAATAAGAGATCATAAAACAACATAAATGCGATAAAGCGGCCAAGTTCGGTGTAGTCAGTGTCACCAATAAAAGAGTCGAGATATAATGGATGGCAAGTTCCATAACAGTTCCTTTAATCATAGCTGTAGGAATGTTCTTCAATTCATTTAAAAAACAATTTATTACTTTCTTTGATATCAAGATTTGTAACTTGGTAAGTTAATTTCTAATTGGAGAACTCAATTTTTTAATGTAATTTATTGATTATTAAAATTTGACAAGTTAGAAAGCCGATATCAGAGAAAGTAATAAATTGTTTTTCAAATGAATTGAGGAACGCTGTAGATTCCCACAGCTATGATTAAAGGAACTGCTATGACTATGGAACTTCCCATATGTTACATTTCAACTCTTTGTTGGCAACACCTACTACACCAAACATCGTTTCTAGTGAACTTGGCCCCTTTTTCACATTTATGCTCTTATTTAGTCACTTAAATGAAAAAGCATCTAAACAAATACATGATCTTTGAATTTTTCTCTTGCGTTTACGCTGCACTGGTTTCTTTTTATTAGCAATTTCAATATTTTCCATATTGGTGGAAATGTTATGTTTATGTTGCACTGTTTTCTTTTTATTAGCAATTTCTATATTTTCCATAATGGTGGAAAATGTTGCATTTATTAAATTGTAGACATTTCCCATGAGTATTGTTTGGTTTTAACCAAGATAGTAATGTAGTTTTTTTAAGTTTTAGATTTTTTAAGGGACATAAAAATGTATAGAATAAGTTTAAACAGCTTTTTTTAATTATTAAACAATATAAATGTTCAAATCTTATTTTAAAGTATAGATTCATGTTTCCTTGATTTTCTATTGTTTTATTTACATCTGGCATCAATTTCGTTACTGAACAGCAATGCGTTTGTTGTTTGAATTTACATTTATTTTTCATTTTACTAGTGGATTCAGAGTAACTTCAGCCTACTGTTGCATAGTAGGCTGAAGTTACTGAACCCACTAGTAAAATGAAAAAAGAGCCTGTCCTGCACTCTACTTCGGCATTATCCTTTCCTCCTTTATCTTCCTATCATAAATAGGTTTTTATTCTTCACTTTTGATAAAGTTGATTAGCATCTGAGTTGAGAGGAAACCGACGATCAGTGCAATGCCATCTATTGATGATGATGTCAAATGTTCATTATGAGTATTATTTGGTTTAACCTTGATAATAATGTAGCCTTTTGAAGTTTAAGATTTTTTCCTTTGTATATGCCTAATGATCTACCCTGATGCCAAATTTCAAGTATTTTCATCATTTAGAAGTGGTCTAGGTTTTTGGATGAGACAGTGAATGATAAAAATAACACTTTTCAGACCTTAATAATTCAATACCTATAATGAAATTTGTGATTCTAGGTGTTCAAGGAAGCTCTATTAGACCTACAAATTTGCAATTTTATAGTTTCCAAGTAATGGATTGGTCGAAAGTAGCTCGAAATGATTTGTGCAAGATACACATAGCCAATGTCTCTCTGTTTTCCTTTCCGTCTGTTCCAAGCTTGGCTGACACACTGCCATGTGTCTAAAACTAACTCCTAATTCCGAAAATTGCATTCGGGTTGGAAGTGCATTCTTACCCCAAATTATGTCTTCCTTTTCTTGAAATAATAAAATAACATTCTTGTGCACACCAGCTTTGCATATAACCCAACATCTTTGAAGAATTATTTACTATCTCAAGCATCCCCCCCACATACTGTTCCACTTATCGCTTATCAATTCCCTATACAGTTACTCAAAAGCCTGGGGAAAATTTTCAAATAAATTAATTCAAAATACAAAAGTACTGCACGTGTATCTTTCAGGTTTTTTCATAAAAACAAAAAAAGGCACACTGTATACAAAGAATACACCTAAAAACTAAAAAGTGTAGTTTGAAATTATGGATGCACATTATATGCCGGAATATACGGTAATTATAATATTTGCATCAAAGTTTTTAACATTTCAAGTCTTACTGAGACTAACCACAAAAAATAATACCATTAAGCATATGATCACTTATTTTCAAACTTGACAACAAGAAGCATTGAGGGTAAAAAAACATAGACAACAGCATTCAAATATTCAAGTCTCATTACACTATGTTAAGAATAATAATAACAATAATAATAAAAACCTTTTTCTTTTGAGGTCCGAGATCCAATGGTTCACTTTCAAAAAGTCGCTTACTCAAACTGTCAGACATTTCTGATGGAAGGTGATTTTGAGCAACATCTATTTTAACAATATTTAGGTCCAATCTTTCTTGAATATCACCTACTCCAGAAGCATCCAGTGTACCAATTTCATTCATTGATGTAGATAACCTAGGAGCATCAATCCCTTTTGGACTCTTCCCTTTCATCTGTCGGGGCTGCAGCGAAAAATTTATATAAACATTAGCATACATTTACATAAATATTTGCAAAACGCTGCATCACAATACAAAAACTTTTTTAAAATAAATTTCCAGTGGCAAAGCTTTTGACATGAAACAAGATAACATAATAAAATACATAAACAAGATATACAAACAAAAAAAATACAGAAGTAAAAGTTATTGATCCATGCACAGTCTTGCGGATGAATATTTCACTCTCAGATATTCAATGAGCTGCAATGCATTGTGCAAGATGGTCTATATCCATAACACCATTGTTGCATTGTAGGCAGGTTTTCAATGCGAAAAAGGGGCACCGCCAGGCAGTCATATCCATGTCACCACAGATGTAGGCTGAGCCCAATCAGGGCTACGATCTTGAACAGTCTTCAACCAACTCTTTGCGCAATTCTAGATATTAAGTCTTGATGGCAATTAGAAGCTGAAGTTTTTTAATAATATGTTTAGCAGCTTTAAAAAAAAAAAAAAAAAAAAAAAAAAAAAAAAAACTTAATCACCTGCAAAACCATGGACCCCTTTTTAGCTAACAGATCCGCTTAATCATCCGCATCCACATCACAGTGGGCTGCGATCCATTGGAGGGTAATGTGGATTTCCTTTCTCTCAAGCTGTTGCACATAAATTCTACACTGTAATATAGGTAACTCTACTATAACTTGGTAGATAGGTTCCTAGAAAATGCTATGTTGTGCAAGGTTATGTTTAGAGCAAAAAAGCAAATTTTAATATATATATATCAAAATCGCAATAGCAACCTTGAATTTAGCGTACATATATTAAAAACTCAATCGATTTCGAGGGCAGCTAAAGGTCCCTCCTCATCAGGAGAACGAAATAGGAAAAAAGAAGAAGAATAAAGCATCGGCCAAAGGAGTCTCAGAAACATGTGGTCGTTATCAGCACTGCACATGGTCGTAACCGGATTTTTAATCAGAATTACACTGGCTGCCTACTTTTACTGAACCAGGCTATCTGATCAAACATATAACACACAGATTAAAACGCAAAGAAAATCAGCAAAGTCAAAAATAGGGAGCAAGGAGCAACTGCACCTTCACACACAAAGACTGAACCTCGAATAAAGGGAAAGCATTTATTTATACTTTGATACTTTTGATATGCCTGTTTTGATAGGTATTATATCCCGCTATTACAGGCACCTCAAATAACCCCGGTTAGGGGAGACATAACATACAGTGCTTCGCAGGAATACCTTGACAAGAGACTGCAGAAAGATTGTGTAGATGTGGCCCAGGCCAGTGTAAATGAAAATGTCATACTTTGAAACTTCAAAATTGGCTGGAAGAAGTTAAGATTATTTATAGGGAATTCCGATAAATGTGGGTGAAGGGAAAGCAACCTCTGTGACGGCTTTTTATACCCTCTGGCAGTACCAAACGCAAGGAGGCAACACCATCTATGGGCAAAAATAATAAAGAATTATGATAATAGAATTTTAAAGACATTAGGGGAACTGGATTGGACTTAAAATCATTCACTAAACATGTTAAATCGTTGTGATTATAAAAAGCCCAAAGAAAATCCAATTCACCAACGGAAGAAGCCTTTTGGATAATTTTTCCAGAACCAAAGTCAAAATTATGATTAAATTTCCAACTATGATATGCTATTGTTAATTTGTTAATTAAAGCCTGAACCTCGATTGAGCGTACAAACATACACGTTCTTTTAGAATATTTTGAAATCACTAGATGGCACTCCATGTCGACTACAATTAGCTTATTTGAACATATACCTTGTTGACCTCGTAACCGTGAATTACTTTATGATTCTGGCGATGTACGAGCAGATGATATAAAGTAAACAAAACCACACTCAGATGCAGTTGGCTTTATGTGATATAAACATTGAATAATTTCCGATGCTTCAAATTTGTTTTTTATTTTTTCCTATGGGAAGATTGGGAGTGGAGCTGTGGTTTTAAGAACTCCGGTTTGTATTCAGTTTGCATCTTCTTTAGACAGCATTCATAACTTTTTTGCACTGGTTAATAAGATTTAAATTAATAGTGCAATGTCTTAGAGAAAGAAGTTTTTAGCGGAAGAAGAGTACAGTCAAAAGTCGTTAATTCGGACACCCATAATCCGGAATGATCTATAATCTGAACCTCAAAGCTACAAACTTTCTGCGCGTGCGTCGTGTTGACGCATGCGCGTAAGACCTTTACCACTGCGAATTTGTGTGTGCGCAAAATACTATTACGAATGGGCGTTTAATGTATAACGGACAGGATAAGCTAAGCTAAAATTATCTAATTATCTATTTCAGTTAATGTTGCAGATTGCGTTGTTCCTTAATCTTCGAATTGGATCCGGATTATTATTTTTTGCAGAGTAATAGAGCAATTTTATAAAAGTAAGCTTGAACTTTCGATTATGTCAAATAGAATTTCTGATATATATTTACTAATATGTAAAGGATCTGCAAAGTGAAAGTATGTTTCGGAGTCCATTAAACAAAAAGTGGAATTGCTGCAAAAAATGGATAAAGGCATATCCTTTGTTTATCTAAACTTTAATGTTTGTTTATCTAAACTTTGTTTATCTTTAATGCGGAGGTGAATTGGAAGTTGATCTGTCAGCACTATCCTTATCTTAAGGGCAGATGCTTTTATTTTATTTGGCTAATAATTGCTTACTCAATGTAGTATTTCATCTCTATGTACTCAGTCTTTGATATGATTTAAATCAAATGCCTCGTCATTATAATTCGCTTCTGATAGCGAAGAAAATGACAGAGGTTATTAAAAACGAAAAAATTTCGATTGACAAATTAGTCGGTATTCTCGACACAGCAATTATAGGACTTGAACAGCGGAACTTTGTAACTGAACAAGAAATTATATCTGTTTATAGAATTAAAGAGGTATTATCACATAAAAAACGAAGCAACTTAAACAACTTACATTGAATGAAATGTTTAATAAAGTAAACAAATAAATATTAGGCTTTTTTTTTTTTTTTTTTTTTTTTTTTTTTTTTTTTTTTTTGTAAATTTTGATACCCTTTAGTTCATAATTGTTCTTTATTTCGTAAATTACGGTTTCATATTTTTAATTTTATAATTTCTGCATGCCATTTTACCAGATTTAAACTGATGATCTATAATCAGGAAAAATCGGTAATCCGGAATCGCTGAGGTCCCGACGAGTCTGGATTAACGACTTTTGACTGTATATTCAAATTTTAAATCCCATGAGTGACTATTTCGACACCAAAAACTCTAGATTTAAGTGAGAATAGAGATTCTGATAACGAAATTTTCTTAGACACTGAACTGGAAATTTGTTTTGCCTTCACTTCACAATCCAGTATAACAGCGGCTCTTCTGTCATGAACTCAATCTGTTAAGAAATTGAAGCCATATGAATTTACAGGAATTGCAGAAGTAACATGATCATTTTGGAGTGGATGTTCATAGCCATCTGAACAGATCATTTCCGCATAGAGGGACTGGGCGTGGTGGACCACTTCCCTGCCCCCTCCCACGTTCACCAGATTTATCGAGCCTTGATTTCGTTTTGAGGGAAGCCATCAAAAGTGTCATGTATCATGATCCTGTTGTGTCTGAAATGGATCGCATGGCAAGACTTGCCTGTGCAGCTGCTACAATCAAAGAAGCTCCTGATGTGTTTGAACATGTTTGGTAATCAATGGTTCGTCTTGGAGCTTTATCAGTAGTGATACTAACATGTTAGTATCAAAATTATGTGCAGAACATAAATTTAAACTGGAGGATAAAAAAAATAAGCTCCAATTGTTTGGCCCAACTCATTCTAACAAGTTCTAAAGTTAATTCAAAATGTTTAGAAATTCCTCTAACAAACAAAAGCAGCTGAGCTGTTAAAGTAATGTCTGTTGATTCATTAGCTGCTAGTGAAAAGTACTTAAATTTGGCAACAGCAACTTGGAACTGTTAATTAACATCATCAGATAAATTTTCAATTTTTCTTTGAATTGTCATTCTGCTGAGACTCACATTTTAAAATTTTTTTGTAGCTTCAGTGCATACTTTCTTAGATGCTAACAACATACTCCTTTGCAAAATCACCATCAGTAAACGGGTGTCCACTTTCAGCAATTAAGGCTGTGATTCCCAAACTAACTTCGAAACAGTTACCTAATTGTAAAGATGACTCTGCAAATACCTTACTTTCTGCTGCGAGAGAACAGCAAAGAGATTCAATTTTACAATTTCGATCCTCTCCCTCAAGCTTTGAAAATGTTGAATGTTTCATGTCGTAGTATCGCTTAATATTATACTCCTTGTAGATACTAATCATAAAATGATATATCAAGCATGTATTCTACTATCTTACTCCCCAAAAAAATATTTCAAGGAAGATGCCTCCAAAAATTTCCTATTGTCATCCGCTACCTTTCTTTTTGTTCAGTTCATCATGGTAAGTTAATTACCAAAACCATGTAGGACGAAAATTCTATTTTGGTTCCTCTTTCAAAATCATATTTTTTTAAAAAGTGAAATATTCAGAAAAAGAAACTTCTTAATGGTCTCGAAAAGAAAATAAACACACAAGTGATAAAACAATGCATAGTCATGAAGCCAACAGTGCAACAACACACAAAAAAATCAGTGCTTCCGATCTATGTAAATATTTTTCTTCCCCTTTTACTAAAAAGCACAAATGTGTACAAACAAACTTATGCTATGTCATACCACGAACTCTTACTCAATCTGTGCAATGCACAGGCTACCAGCAATTTTCACGCTCAGGCAGTGAAACTTGTTTTAGTTGATGCCGGGAACTTGGCTCAGTGCCAAATCTCACTTCAAGAGGAGAGAGTAGAATGAGTAATGAAGGGTAAAGCAGTGCGATTTTTTCTGTTTGCACGCCCTTCTAGAGACAACCGACATATCAAATCGCAATAAATTTTGAAGAGATACCGACGCGCCACAAGTTGACTGCTCGCGGGTCACATTTGGCTTGCAGGCCACAGGTTGTGCATCCCTAATCAACATAAACAGCTGTCAAGACATTTGTGGCATCAAGAGGATCTTTCACTAGTAAAATGGGCAACCAGTAAATTTTTTGATTGATCTCTATGAAATCTACCTATTCGCATCTTAGTAAACCAAAAATTTCTGGGTATAATACTAAATATGAATCTTCCAGTGGCTGATGTAAAAAATGAACTAGTTTCCATCAATATACCCCTGCTGAACTAGCTACCAGTGCCTTAGCAGTAAAGTCTTTGAACACTGGTATTTCGACTTGTCGAAGAAGCTGGCTGGATGAGTTTTTCCTAATGTATAATGTGGATATCAGCCAGTTCCTGAAAAAGCCACGAAAATAACCCTTCCCTTAAGCAGACAGTGCTAGTCTGCTTTGGCATAATCTAATAAATCCAAATCCTTTTTGAAATATTATACAGCTGACTTTCATCATAACTAACAAATCAACATCCAAATAAATAATTGCATGTTGTACCTGAAAATGTTAACGACACTTTAAGAATAAACGGAAATGAAACAACATGAAATTTTCATTAAAACAATATCAGATTAACATACGTGAAAGAAAGTAATCTGATAATTAACTAAGTAATTTTTATATATGTGACATCATGCAGTTACTTACCTTCCTATTTCTATACTTTTATAAACTGTAATTTAAGTGAAAAATTATTAATAAAACTTTTTAAAAAATATTAATTTATTAATGACCTTTGTTAATTAATTATGTGTATTTAGATTCTATTAAGCACTATAAGTTGTATTAATTTTCTACTCATTTTTAATTTTTAAATGTTTAAGTTTCCTTCTTACTTTTTTTGCAAAAATTTATTAGTTAATGCAAAATTATGAAATATAAAAGTAAAAAAAAAATATATTCCTCTTTCCTTCTTGCACCCCAAATCAATGTGCAAATATGCATTTACTAATTTTAAAGCTAGAAAAACACATGTCTGTGATCTTATCATGCAATGATTTGTACATGCTTTTTTTTTTTTTTTAACCTCAATATTTTTTATGATGTTTTTAAACTGTGAAGTTTTTTATCCGCTTTAATTTTTACTATGATATTTTGTACCATGATGTTTTACAACTGCAATGTTTAACTTTGCTTTCTTTTCTCCCACGATGTTTTTGCCTTGCACTAATTTCTATACATTTTCGTCCATGGTGTTTTCAGTGACCAATGTTTTAAAGCACTTTTTCCTACTGATATTGCATGCTTCATGAAAAATGCATGAAATTCACACTAATAACTGTACGCTTATCAAAACACTGTATAAAAAATTAAGATTATTTGCACACACCTTTATTTGATCTGGTTTTCCATTCCTACAACATTTTGGACATTCCCAGCTGTTTGGCAGGTCATCATTTATACAACTTTCCATGGGTAAATCAGGGTTCTTTTCTTGAAGACACTTTGGATGTAATATTTCCCAACATTGAGAACATTCCATAAGACTAGAATTCTCATTTTCTGGAGGATTTGTCAGTTTGTCCCAACCATCTCTCCCACAAATCATACAGCATGCGGTATGAGGCAGAACAGGCTAAAATATTAGAAAATGTTGAAATGTTTTAAATTCAGACATTAAATTATGTATAAATGCTACAAAAATTTCAAATTCATATAAAAATACAAACTTAATGCTACAATTCTGCAACAAATAATCAATTTCGAACAATTTTTACTTTTTAATAATAACAACATTACTTAAAAAATTATGAAAGAAAGAATTGCTCATAAAAAGCACAGGTAATAAAAAATTAAAACTACTTTTTCAATCTACTGTAATTCTCTGACATCTGAATTCTTATTACAGAAGAAAGATAACTGCTTCTTTTACAGTTTTTTTACCATGAGAAAACTGTGTTACAATTCTGAATTATTTTATATCAGTTTAATGAATTTTATTTGCAAACAAAGTAATCATGCATGCTAAAATGAATGCACAGCGTAATGAGATAATCTTGCTTTGAAATCTGGCTATTATCATTTGACAGGTTGTAAATGCTTTAATAACTTCAATTTAACCATAAATTTGGAAATTTGGCACAGGGATAGTACAATATGAAATAACTAATAACCAAACCAATATAAAAGTGCAATAATAATAAAACTAAGTCTTATTTGTTTGTTTTTAAAACATCATTTTGATAATTGCAAAAATTGAGGTATAAGTGGCAGATAAGTTATTCAGTTAATGTTATCAGGTGGATTGTAAATTACAGGCTAAAAGAAAATGGCTTAAGAGTCCATAAGCGAGTGAAGAAACTTGTGAAAAACAGAAACACATAAGTAACTAGAAACGGCACATGTAGGATGGATTCTGAAATAGACGACAAAGTTATCTGGAATAATACAATAACAATTTGCTGCCATTGTGATGAAAAAACTGCATTTGTACTACTGCAATTGAACAAAAAACTTATGTTCTTAAAGGAAAAATGCTTTTCCTTCAACTATTAACATTGTTTCAAAACAATGTTGTGATTTTCAAAACATTAATGCACCGTGCTGTAAAACGCAAAACAAAAAGTCAATCTACAGAATTTTTGTAAAAAACGAAAATTTTTCAAAGTTGTATTGTGCTAGTATCATCTAATTCCAATAAACAACCTTAATAAACTTGTGAATAGTATGCCCAAGCACTATGCTTAATAGTTAAAAACAAAAGGTTTCCAGTTTATTATTAATAATCTAACCTGAAGCACATTTATAATTAACTGTCAAAAGTTTGATATCCTGTAATTTAACTTTTCTTAAGAGTTTAAAAATAATTTATAGTTTATAATAATTGTGCTTCAATTATCCAAGGTAGTTAGGACTGTATCTACCTCAAGAAACAAAACTTAATTTGAAATCATGCCATTTGTTCTTTTAACACAAGTTTTTTTAAAATGTTTAGCTGAAGTTTTAGAAATAAATGCACATTTATAAGTACAGTCAAAAGTCGTTAATTTGGACACCCATAATCCGGAATGATCTATAATCTGGACCTCAAAGTTAAAAACTTTCTGCGCATGCGTCGTGATGACGCAGAAAGTTTATGAATGCGCGTTTACTGTATAACGGACGTAACAGTAAAAGCGCATGCGCAAAATACGTTTCCGCATGCACGTTTAATGTATAATGGACGGTATAAGCTAAGCTAAAATTATCTAATTCACTTAATGTTGCAGATTGCATTGTTCCTTAATCTTCGAATTGGATCCGGCTTATTATTTTTTGCAGACTGTTAGAGCAATTTTATAAAAGTAAGCTTGAACTTTCGATTCTGTCAAATAGAATTTCCAATATATATTTACTAATATGTAAAGGATCTACAAAACGAAAGTATGTTTCGAAGTCCATTAAACAAAAGTGGAATTGCTGCGAAAAATGACCTAACCATTCCGAAATCTGTTTATTAATTTCACGCTGCTCTGCAGGGAGGGACACCGCGACACGCAATGAATTGGAAGTTGATCTGTCAGCACTATCCTTATCTTCAGGGTAGATGTTTCATTTTATTTGGCTTATAATTCCTTACTAAATGTAGTATTTCATCTCGATGTATTCCGTCTTTGATATGATTTAAATCAAATTCCTCGCCATTATAATTCACTTCCGATAGTGAAGAAAGTGAAAACGAAAAAATTTCGATTGACAAATTAGTCAGTATTCTCGGCACAGCAATTATAGGATTTGAACAGCGGAACTTTGTAAATGAACAAGAAATTATGTCTGTTTATAGAATTAAGGAGAAAGTATTATCACATAAAACAAAGCAACTTAAACAACTTACATTGAAAGAAATGTTTAATAAAGTAAACAAATAAATATTAAGCTTTTTCCTTGTAAAGCTTGTAAATTTTGATACCCTTTAGATCATAATTGTTCTTTATTTTATAAATTACGGTTTCATATTTTTAACTTTATAATTTCTGAATGCCATCTTACCAGATTTAAACTTATGATCTATAATCCAGAAAAGTCAATATTCCGGAATCGCTGAAGTCCCGACGAGTCAGGATTAACGACTTTTGACTGTATTAACATTCTGACACTCTCATTACTATACAAAATTTCTTTGGTTTTGATGACTGATTTTTCGTCCCTAAAAGTCACCAAATTTGGCGACTATTTGGCGACATTTTAGTCTGGCTCCTGTAAAAATGTAATTGATCTCTGTATGTAACTTTAAGCATAATCTGTATGTACTTTTTCACAAATTTGGCAGTCATATCTTGTTATGCTTTGGTGGCAATTTTTATTCTCAAAATTCTCTTTTTGAGTCTCTCATTGTCTGGCTCGCCATGCAGCTCTTCGAATTACCATCAATTGAAAAAAATTTGAGAGAATATTTATTTCCATTAATGTAGATTTCTCCCAAGCAATAGAAAAAGGTCAAATCTTGTTTTTGTTGCTCAAGCCCAGAAAATCTTGGCAAGAAGCGTTAAATTACACCTGCCGTTGGCAACTGCCTTGAGCACCTTTCAGGTGAAAGTGTGATTTAGCTCAGTCCCCCACCCAATTTTGATGGAGAGCACCCTGGTAGGACGGGTCCAAGGTCTTCTACCCCTCTCCTCTTCCACCAAACCACGCTAGAGGACTTCCGACTCGCCACATATTTAGAGTGCCGCACCAACACTATAAATCTACAAACATCCATGCTTTCTTCGGGATTCGAACACAGGCTGTTCGGCATGGCAGTCAGCGACGCTAACCTCTATACCAGTAGGGCATGATATGAATCTAATACATCACCAATAAAAGTATTAGGCGGCTATGTAATGGCTACCGAAAAGATTGCAGCATTAGAAAAAGTAACTGGTTTGAAACATCTTTTATCTCCTTTACATGTGCACTAACTAACATGACCACCCTTTTATATACAAACCTTCCACCTTTTTATAATTAAATTTATTCTTCTAATTGCCATATTAATTATTATATGCTATTAAATCATATTATTTGTTCTTACTATTTTAAGATATAGTGGGCAGATAAAGGAAAAGTATCCATGAGCTAGCTCCCTGCAGATATTGAAAGGTTGCCTTATTTCACCTTTTCAGACCAACAGAAACAAGGAAATCCTGCATATATGTGTGTGTGTATAAATATGTGTATACATGCAATATGTATACGTAAATAATTTTTGTGAAATTATAATATTTTTTGCATAATGTAAGTTTGAAAAAGTGAAGCTCTTCCCGAAAATTAAAGGTACAGGGGCAAGCATATTTAACCACTGAGATAAATAACTACTTTGCTAAAATTGGAGAGATATTGACAAGGAGGTGGATGATGGCTTTGGTGACTAACTTTTGCGGCTGAATTTCACAAGAAATCACTAAAAGTTATTAAACTTATTGACCGTTTGGCTACATTTTGGTCTAGTCCCTGTATAACTGTAATTTATGCTGCTATGTAACTATAATCTTAACCTGTCGTTATATGTAACTTGAACCATGTATGCCTTCCAGTAATTTTAAGAAATGGAAGGTACTAGAGATTTTGCAATGGTTGGGGAAAAACTATATAAGACTGAAGAAAGCATTAGTTATCAATTTTTTGTTTGGAATATTGAGAATATTACAAGCTTCGCTCTTCAGATGCACTTTGCAATATATTATGTTTAACATTCTTAGTAGTTTGAAGTGGTAAATACTGATTGTGCTTTGTTATACTGAGAAGAGCTGTACGAGTACTTTTGTTAAAAGTACCAGAGCTGCACATTGTTTCTTTTGTGAAAATAAATTTTATCAAGCTATTATCAGTTCTGTGTTTATTCTTACCATTATGAACCCATATGCATACAGCAATTTTAAAAGAAAAATTATTACATTTATAGCATATAACAATTATAGTTACATTTACAGTTAAGAAAATACACATACCGCCATGCACTGTCGGCTAATACATGACTGTTTCATTCTACCTGGACCGCCAAATTTCTTCATATCTTTGCAGAAGTGGCATTCTCCACAATCAGCTCTAAGACATGCTTCACATTTTTTACATCTAGTTCTTCGTCTACGAGCATTGCTAGAATTATTTCCTTTCGAACTGCCAGATTTTGAACTTTTTGATGATGATGATGATGATGACGATGTAGGAGCTGAACGAGGTTTTGGCTTAGGTTTCTGGGAATTGGCACAAATATTACTTTTGAAAAAAGGTTATTTTCACACTTAGCTAAATTAAGTCAAATACAAGCTATAAAATACTTCTATTTTCAGATTTATGAAAGATTATCAGTGCAAAATTTATAATGCAAAAGCAAGCATAAACTAATAAATAAAATAAATGTTAGGTAAATACCTTGACATCAAACCAGAATAAAGATGGCTTGCCAGTTATTGCTAATCGCTGATCATCATTTTCATGTTCCCGCAATAAAACCTATGCCAGAAAGAAAAATAAATTTTTACACTTATAACATTAATAACTGCATACACCATATAAACTTTCACTAAGAAATTTCGGTTAAGACATAGTTTGTGACCAACCACTTTCAGTTATTAATGGCACTAAAATTAGTTGTTGTTTTAATAATTTCTCTTCCTTGCCATTTCACTGACTACATCATTACTGAAATGTTTGCCATATTCATAGTGATTTACTGTTGCTGCTGAAATTATATTTTTCAAAATTATCATCTTTTTTTAAACATGATTGCAGCACATCTGCAAAATGAAAACATCTGTGAAATTAATGCACATCTGCATAATGAAAAGCCACAGATTGTTTCATGAATTAATACAAAATCAGAATCAAATACATATAAAAATTAAACAGGTGTAATTATTAAAAAATAAAGACACATATGCACAGGAAAGGAAAAGAACTGACAAACAGTTTTGTTAACAAAAATGAAGGATTTAAATATTTCTTGCTATATAGTATACTAAGCAAGAATTCAATTTCAATCCATTTTGTCAAATGCAGGAAAAAACTCAAAACTGATAATATTTCTTTATCCAGAGATCAAAGTGATTGTAAAGACTGCACACTTTTTATATGATTATTTTATAATGTTTAACATACATGCATTCTAATTCAGAAGTCAAACAACAAAAATCAGCATTATATTTTCAAAATTTTCACAGGACTAGTTTCGATGGTTTTACCTAACCACCATCCTCAGCTGCAAAACTGCAAAATTATGAAAGTTTTTATTTAACTGAAATTGTTTGTTGACTAGTGTGGTGGGAATTTAATTTTAGCAATTAAAAGCTTTCATTGCATATTTTTGGTTCTTAATTTCCTCACCAGAAAAAGAACAAGGAGTGTTTTTCTGAACACCTGTTTTGAGGGTAGTTAGAACAGGGACACTGCTAGTTACTTGGTAAGTGTCCCCAAAAGAAATTTCTTAATGGACTGAAAATGGGAATAAGAGCTGTTAAATTACCTTGTTGAGATAAGAAAGTTCTGTTGCAAAATAAATTGCAATTTCTTGCACTTTTGAGAATGAAAAAGCCATAAGGGCTTTGTTACTGATTGTGTGAAAAAGAAAATAATTAGTGTCTTTGTTTTATATTTGCTTTTGTTGTAGTTAATAGATAAATGGGTTTTCCAAACGGAACAGCCTCAAGTGATCTCTTTTTGCACTGCAATTAAAAGCAAATGATTCAATTTATCTCTTTGCATGGGAATCTCCTTGTTACCAGAAGTCAACAAGAATCAAATCTTGTTTCTCATTCATTTGATGACTCACTTTGCAGGTGTCAGGACAACAGTTATGGCAGTTTTGTTTCGATTCGTTAGAGGATGTTGGAAATAAAAAGGGGAAAGGAGAAAAATTCGTCTGTTTGAATGGGCATAAATTTACATTTTTCCTTCAGCCTATAGAATTTAAGAGAGTGATCTGAGTTTTCTCTAAAACTTATCAGAGAGCAGAAATCAAATCTCTCTAAAACTTCAAGGAGTAAAAATAAAACAGTAAGGGGTTCAGGCCAGCTCGCTTTGCTATGGGCTTGCCAGAATCTTTTCCCAAATAAGATGCTGATTACAACAGAATCTGCCAGAAATTTCAAAGGCATGAGCTGGCTGGGGCCCATGAAGATCTGCAAACAGTTGAGTTCTCTAGCAGTTGCAATATAAAAGAATTACTAAAGCCATATCGGCCTCATGGAAGGTGATCCATGGTTTTTTAATAATTTAGAGTAGATGAAGGAGAAGAACATGACTCACACATTCCATAAGAGGGAAAGGAAAACAAAAATTATGACTACAGAGGTAATGATCAACAGAAACTCTATTCAACACTATTCTTTAATCAGTGGAGTAAGAAAGTGTGCATGCATTCGACTCCGAAGGTAGCAACTCAGAATATAGCTTCAGGTCACGGGCAGCCAAGAGACTTCCGAAATGATATTCAACACAAGGATAGGACGACTTCTCTCTTGAACAATACAAACAGTCACTAGGACACTAATGGCAACATTAAAGACTTGTTAACTAAAAATAGATTCAGTGTGCTTTGCTTCTCTGATAGATACATCTTAGCATCATGAAATTAGTGCTTTGGTTTTGGCTTCTATGGAAACCCAAACCATGGCTGACTGGTACAGCTCAATGTATAATTTCCTTTCTTAGATTAATTAGACAGGAAAAATTGATCAAATTAGTATAATAAAAAAAGGAATATTTTTGTTTTACTATCAAATCATTAATTCTTTTATGAAATTTCACTAACTGGACACCATAAAATTATATTTTTATAATAACCATTTTAGGTTAGCCACAAAAAGCTGTTAGTATTATATATAAAACACCAAACAGAATTACTTCCTTTAGTGGCTTTAGTTACACATATGATTATATCACGTTTTACAGTTTATTTGATTATATAAAATTGTTCTCCGATATCATTAAAAAGGACCTCTTACAAATAGTCTTTAATGATAGAGTTTATTGAATAAATGCTTAGCAGCAGAATTAATTTTATTTGGCATCATATTTCTCATACTAATATATTCTCAATGAAAACGTTTGATCATTAGTAACAAGAATATCGACAGATTAAGATGTTAGTAACTCTAATGTAGATGCTGTACGTAAGAAAAAACATACATGTAAATATCTTGTTATAGGTTAAACAAAGAATAAGATAATAACAGAAAAATCTTTTTTTGACAGGTCGTTTTTGATTTTGAAATAAATAAATTATTAAAAAAACTAGGCAGTTAATTACTAAATGCTGCGCAATGAATATAAATATTATACACTACAGCTAATAAATAACTTAATCATATGTTAAATGTAAACCATTTATAACAAGCTGATAGATCATGATTGATCATGTCAGATGCAAGTTAAAATTTAAGAAAATTGAAAAGCCATAATTTGATATTTGTATCATTTCAGAAGCAGCAAAACAATTTTTGAATAATTCTTTTTACTTACACAACTAAAATGAGAACCAACATACAGACATGAGAGCTAACTCTAAACCATTTATTTAAATAATTAAATGCAAACTGGATTATCAAATACAATTTTAATGCAAATTATAACTAAACAAATTCACTACACCATTCAGTAAAATTTGAGTATATCATCAAGCCATATTGTTGCTATATGTATCTTTTTTGCTATTCTTACCCATTTTAAATGTCCCAATCTATTTTAAAAGTGGCACCTTGGGGGGGGGAAGGCACACAGCTTGAACTCTTTAAAATCATTATACACATAATAATTTTTTTAACGAAATCGTCTATTGTTAAAAAAAGTGCAATAGCATCACTTCTGTTCCAACTGAAAAGTTTGTTCAAAAACAAAACCTTCGTTTGTTACAATGCAAATTGCATATAAAGCACTAAAGAATCACAGTTTGGAGAAGGCTGTAACAGATCATTAACCTTCTTCATACAGATAATATTCAATTAAAAAAATTACTTCTTTTGGTATTTGCAATTAAGAGTTCAATTTAACATAAACTAGTCAATTCTGGAACATTTTAAATAATAGTATATATGATTTCAGTATTGTACAGAACGAACCTAATAATTTGTCAATCACTTACCTTTTGCATACAGTTAAATAGCAAATTTCAGACATAGTCAACATTTTGAATTAGTAGTTTTTTTTTTTTTTTTTTGGTAAACAAGCTCAAATAATTCCAAGACTCAAAATTTAATGATGATAAGCTTTAATCTGCCTGTTCGGTTTAATATAGTGCCCTCTTGTGAGAGGAGGCAAATTTAGTTGAGTTGGTTGTTGAAGAATGTATGTAGCGGACCTATGGTGCGTTCGCTCGTTCCACTTTGTCTGTGCTAATGGAGCACTTAACTTGTAACTTTGTACATTATGTAAATAATTAAATATTTGTGTGTGGCCTAACTTAGTTAGTTTCATTTTGGAACCAGCGCCATTATCTCTCGTAACTCATCGCATTTTATACCAAACAAAATTTATGATCCGTCAAGCCGGAGTTTGTTTTGTTTTTGTTAACTAAGTTCATATAAGTATAAAATGGCCACTATAGTTGCTTTAAATCGAAAGAAGGGCTCACTAAAAGCCCAATTAACTAGAATAGAGACTGTCATAGCGGATAGTACCAGCACATGGACTAAAATCAAAATAGATGCCAAGCTCAAGGCCTTGGAAAAGATGTCTGTTGCATTGGATACACTTCGATCGGAATATTATATTGCTGTGCCTGAAAAGGATGATACTTCTGAATTAGAAGAGGAATTATTAGATCTAGAAGCAAGAATCGACGATCTAGAGGTAAGTTTCAATCAAATGTTAATTGATAATGTTGCTAATATTAATAAGGTTGATATCGCAAAGAGTAGTTGTAAAATAAAGTTACCTGAAATTCCACTTCCGCAATTTAGCGGAAAGTATGAAGAATGGAGCATGTTTAAAATTGAATTTAATAATATTGTTACCTCGAATACTCAATTAACAGATGCACAAAAGCTACATTATCTGCATGCCGCTCTTAAGGGAGAAGCAAAATTGTTGCAAACTCAGGAAGATACTTTTGAATCATTATTTAGGGCTTTAGAAAATCGCTTCGAAAACAAGAGAATTCTTGTTAATATTCACATTAAAGCTATTTTAGAATTCGAAAAAAATTATTCATGAATCATCGAAAGAATTAAGGCGTCTAGTAGATGCTGTGAATAAAAACATTAGAGCTTTAAATAATTTGGGTTTTGAACGAAACAAATTCTCTGATATATTAATTACTACTGTCATTTTAGACAAAATAGACAACAAGGAAACTCAAAGAATTCGAATTATCGGTAAACGCTTCAGATGTTCCTAATTTCGATAACTTGATGACATTCTTAGAAAAAGGAAGTCAAACTTTAGAAAATATCAAAAAAAAAAAAAAAAAAAAAAAAAAAAAAAAAAAAAAAAAAAAAAAAAAAAAAAAAAAAAAAAAA